CAAAGCAATATTGTTTTACACGCAGATTTGGTTTTTGTTTCTCCCTCAAAAAGTCGCTTCTACTATTTGCAAATATATAAGACATAAGCTAGATCTAAAGTCATCAACGATAGATCAAAACGAATGCAAGAAAACGTTTGTCGTTTCGTTTTTATAAAGTTTTTGTTTCTAATCCAAAAGTTAGCAATTTCACTTATATCGTCTACTGTGACAGCTATTCATACGTTAATTTGTTATGTATATCCATTGAAGTGCTTGAAGTAAAATTTTGTAACGTTACATCGCACCAATGCAATATTAAAAAGAAAAAAGACGACATTTCGCAAAACGCCCCATCGCGTCTTCCGCATCGACCGCGACGCAAGGCTCAAGATGCATCAGGAAAGGGGTCCCCTACGATCCACTACGCTGTACAAACTTACAACAGATAAGGGCCTCAAGTACCCCCCAAAAGGGGCAAGACAGACCCCCCAAGTCTGCCTAGACTTTAGTGGAAGAAAAAATAATGCGGGAAAAGGACGGACGTCGATCCGTCTGCGGTCTTACTTCCCTATTTGAGCGCGGCTCAATTTAGCATAACGCTCCTTACCGACCGACATTATTGGGATTAAACATTTCACTTCTATATATACTGTGAACGTTATTAAAATAAAGCTGCATTTATATGAACACTTAAGAGATACGTCTTTTGAATATTTGATTGAATTAAAAAACAATTGATTTTGACGCGGTGTGTTCCGTGTTAGCCTACACATAATTGTTTCGGCTTTGCGTTGCTTGCTTTTTAATAATTTTGTACAAATAATCTAGTTTGTAAACTAAGTTTGTAAACTAAATTAGTTGTACAAACTTATTAAAAAGGATGTATCACGGGATAACCTTAACCTTAAGCAGGGGTAGCGTTTGTTACAAAGAAAAAAATGTTTGGGCTGAAGACATTTTGAACTGAACACAATTAAAAAAGCATTATTAGCAGTTGGGGTTTTGAGGCGAATAAACTTTGTTGATGGAGAGACGTATTCTGTCCGATAATAGATACCTGTTTTGCTTATCGCTTATGCTGCAATAATTAAGGTACGATAAATTTTTACTTGATATAAATATATTGTAGTTATACCCGAGGACATATTACATGGTAGTTAATGACTGGAAAGGAAAGTCGAGGTTCAATAGTATACTAGGTTGATCGTGACGAATCAATAAGACGGACTAGTAGTAATAGTCATCAGACCACGCGTTAGCTGCATCGTTAATTCACTCCTTATCGATAACACGTCTTGAGTGTATCAGTTGTACGTTACTACGATATTTTGTTTGTGGCGAAAGTCGTCGGAGGATTTGAACGCTTATGCGATGGAGAACTAACAGCGAAGGGAATTAGGAAATAGGGATGGATATAAAAACCTGGAAGAAACAAGCAGATTTCAAATAAGACGTAATTTTTATACGTGGTGGACGTTTCAAACGCAGTGCCTAACTGTGTTAGGGACATGCAGTCTGCGCTGTTGCACGAATGGACAGGGCCGGGTAAGTACCACGACCTCACAGAAGACCGGCGTGAAGTGGATGTGGTATACTTCTGCTTTCCGTCCAGTGAGTGGGTAGCCGGGGCCCGGTTTATTGAAAGGCTATGTGTTACGTTGATGGGCGGCGGTTATGACTTAACATCAGGTGAAAAAAAGAGAAAAGCCGGTGGAATTAAACGCTTCGGATGGCGCGTAATGTTATCGCCAGAGTCGGGTCTTAGACCAGAGCCGCGGCCCGCTCTGATTGCTTCCCACACTTGGGGCAGGTATCGCGTTACGTCCGCTTTGTCCTGGGCGCCATTGTGCGACATTTCTGAATCTTAATGCGGCGTAAGCAACCGCTAAGTACAGTTGCCGGCGTTGAGACATATGTTTATTTCAAAATTCATTACACCATAAAGACATGTAAGGCAGTTATGTGTTGGTATGTAGGATGTTTATCGTCCTATACAATTCGGTTCTTATGTATATATATTCAAGTTCAATGAATGAATAAATTAGGGATTTTTAACAATTTTTCCGTCTATTTTGATAGATGTTTTCACTTTTAGTCTGTCTTAAGAAAGAAAAAGAACGAAAACGCCTACAATTTAGACGGGCCTGCTGAACACTTAAGAAGGGTCAGAATAACTGCGTATAGTCCTTGTCTCTTTCTAACAAGTGGTGAGCCTATCTATACACATCTCGATTCGAATTTGAGTAAAAACATGACTCTTTTTCCTTTTACTACACCAATGAAAATCGTACCTGTGACTTCACATTACGTTACTCTAGACCTCATTGAATAGATAACTTATTATTCCGCATAAGTTTATTTTGTTCGAATGCTGTTTTAAACTTGCGAAAAGAAATATTTTATCTCAACGAAGAACATTTACGTGCTACAATTGCCGATTGATACCCACTAAGACCATCAAACGAACATACTATAGTCAACTTTCAAAAGTCAACATACTAAAAAATATGAACCCGCGTATACCATAACGCGAATACAGTACAGTCGATAGACCTTAAAAAGTCAAATAACATACTGAAAAAGATGAAAGAGAAATGCAAAACCTTCCGAAAACTGGAAAACAGCTTTAGTCACTCCACACGTATATAGAACGTTTAGGGTTAGTTTAGACGTTGGAATTGTCCCCGTCGACTGTACACAGACTTGTTAACCCGCGCGCAGTATGAACTTGATACATGACATTGTCTGGCCCCTTCACGCACCTCGCTCCTTCTTTTGTTTGCCCGTGGACCGCTTTCTTGGTCTATTTTTAGGGTTCACCGCCGTCGGCGCGAACGCTGTTACGTTAGATGCTAGAGTACCGGGCTTACTTGTGGTTCCTTCGAGAATGAGATGGAATTCTCTTTCTCCAATATCTAGTGGCAATTGAAGAATTGAAGATATTGGATTGGATAAAGATATTGAAGATAGAGTTGACGCTCGACTCAAAGACGTCGTCGAAACCGGAATGTTATATTCGGTTCGGGCTCGTCTCATATCGGATCAGTTTCAACTCGTCGGTGAGATACGTGTGTGTTATTTTGACGGAATCAACGGATTTTATCGCGGTTAATATTAATATTGAACTACCGGCGATACAAATACTTTAGTCATAGTCCGTGAAGGTGTAATATTCGCTTGAATGAAATGAAACGGTTTCCGTTATATTATGTGTTATTTTATATGATTATACCAAAGATTAGACCAGAAGAGGGTTCAGCGAATATCTCTGTAAATAAAGAATTAATATTTTTTGGAAAATAAGATCGAACGCAACGAAAGAATAAAAATTTGACAGCAACGACAGTTCACACATTTCATTTTTGACTCAGTTGGTTTCTTTCACCTATTATAAATTTACATGTAACTTATTTAAAATATGAACTACTACACAACAATTAACAACAAACTAGTACAAAAATGCCGTAAATCAAAATTCACGTAGACCCAAGTAAATAGGAAATATTAGAGATATTAATTTATACGCAATCAAAACAATTTCATAGGTATTTAAAAGAATCCACTAAAAAGATATCGCTATTTATATACAATAGAAAAAATGTCTAATCATTAGCATTTCACTTAAGATTTCGAAGCGATTAAAAGAAAAAAAATAAGCCGCCAACAACGAAAACACTGAGCCACTCCGCTGTTTAACTAGCGTGTCTCAAGTCAACGCGACAAATGAGGGGTGAGCAGGTCTAATGAATAATTAATGCGCACACTTTTCGCGCCAATTATAATTACGTAAGGAAAGCAATTAGCGTGCCCGCGACTAGCTAGGCGGCCGCCTAACTCGAGATTTGCATACGTGCTTCCAAGCCTAACGGCTTGATGACGCTAAGCTCCCATAAGAAGCGGAGAAAGAAAAAAAAAATAAAAGCAGCTTTTTTTTTTAATTTCACAACTCTCACGTAATTGATCACTGGCAGCTTGATATTGTTTACAAAAAAAATGTGTGTTTAACAAAAATTGGCGCCAATTCGACGGTAGGTAGCGTTTGATTGGAAATTTAATTAAGGTACGTAGCGGTTTTTTGTTGTCACAATGCAAGTTTATATATAGTACACATATTGAATAATAGGACGTTTGCGGTTTGCTTTAAACTTCTAATCGCGGTTAACATGCTATTAATTTTTCAAACGTTATATCTTATTTTAATGAACTTCCTATATATATATCTAATGAGTCAATGCACATGTTGCTAGGGAAGATTGGGCAAAAATCCCCAAAAACTGTCGCTATATGTACGTATAATTTAACGCTGATGTGCCAGTGTAATATTTCAATATTTTTATTTCAGAGTATTGTTTTTGATGGAGCCTTGGTCCTTTAACAAAATGAATACTAAAAAAATAAAGTTTTCAATAAGAGACATGTTTTCTTATAAAAATAGTTAACAATGTCTCTCGCGTCTCCCTATCGCTTATAGTGTACAGTATTGTGAAAAGATCTCAGAACAAAGAAAACTCGATTTACGTATTTAGCCGATACAACCCCCGCGGTCTGCGTTCTCCGTTTGAGAATCTTGGCGGGAGCGGCTGCAGGGTTTCAGGTGCAGAAATATCCACCTGATCTTTATAAAGGCGGGAGTTTATTTTCAAGCGCCATTTGCATCAACGACCAACGGTTGAACGTTCATTATTAATTGTTAGTGAAAAACTTTAAGACAACATTAATTGGAGTCGAAATGTGAGTATTTTTTTTATTTCAATTCTTAAAAGCATTTAACAGGGCGAAATGTATTTAAGATAAAAGAAATAGAATCTCAAAAAATATTTATTTTAAAGTTGGATAAAAATATTTCTCATTTACTCGAAGACGATAAATTACGACACATACTATTTCGTACCACTAAGTTAAAATGAATTAAATGCAATGAAAATTGCACTAAAGAACGCATGTTGAGCGTGAAAATTAAAAAAAATAAAATGTTCCAAATTAAAAAAAAATATATATTAAAAAGGAACACACATCCAATGGGCTATTCGATATGGCAGCTCGTTAGAGGAATAATAAAAGCGGCGACGGTGTGTGCGTTCGAAAGCGCGCCGTCGACAATGGAGACGCGCGCGCAGGTCACGGGCGGTGCGCGGCGGCCGGAAGTGTCTCCGGACGTCGAGATTGTGCCCCGAGCCCCTGATTCCTTCCGGTGATTCCAATGGACGCGCACTTCCAAAACTTGCGGCGCGAGCCATAGACGCCGGCGGTAGGTGGCCGGCGTGTCGGTGAGTACGATGAGAAGATCATGAGAAAAGTGTAGCAACTATTCGTTGAATGACCTAAGGTAAAAACGCTGAGAAGTATACGAGTTTCCTAAATTAAGATTAAACTTGAACAAGTACAGTAAATACCACAGACACATACTTTAAATATTATACAGCTAAGAAAAATTGCTTTATAAGCCGTAAACTGTCATTTTGCACAATGAATATAATCAGCGCTTGTCTGCTAAATTGGTAATGTGTCAATTACACAACGAGATGTAATCTAGTGTATAATAATAGTCTCCTTATGATTGTACCACGCTTTAAGGTCGTCGCTCCCTGATCTTTAGCACGGAACGATTGGCGGTGATCTTTTTTTCATTGGGCCCGTCGTGTCGCGGGCCCCGCCCGTGACTCATGTCGCATTACCCGCAAACGATGATCTCTTCGCACGGTTTAAAGCGCGGCGGAATCCGACGGCTGACCCCAACTTCGAATTTATGTCTTGTGACGTTACTTCCGTTCGAAAACCGCCAGAGTTGGTAAATCTTTTTATATTTCAATGGGAAAAACGATGGTCGACCATAGATAATAAAACATGTTCTACAATTAAATCTTCGTTTTTTAATTTATTTAAAAAAACATATTGATCAAATGATAATGTCAAAATAATAAAAGTAAAGCAATGTGTACTGTGTATTGTGGTGAAATTGTGGTGAATACTTAATAAATATCTAAAATCTCGCTATTCTCGCTAGCTGTTCACAATCCACAATATACGATGTGTACCATCATTACGAATAATTGACGTTGGTCGAGTGAAATCCGCAAAGGCAAATAATATCTCAGTGCGCTGAGACTGCGGATGCTGCCGTGATAATTAAAGTTCCATTTATACAAACAAAAACAACACACATAAATTAAGCATTTGAATGTCATCAAATTAAATTCTTGCTATTTATACGGCAGGCTTTGCTAAGCAATGCATAGGTACATGAGTTATCACAAATTTGATGAAATATTTAAATAATCTAATTTCAACCTATGGACTTTAACAAGCAAGTAACCACTTTTAATTTTTAGTCTTCTTTTTAACGTCGTAAACGTTGTAACGTAATCGATCAACGTGTTACGAAAAGTCACACGTATATAGCAGTGTTCAGGACTCCATTTCAAATTTCGAATACAGTGACTCACAAACCTTCGTCGTAAAACCGATAATGAGAGGCTATAGTGCACCTGTGCTAAGGGTGCTTTCTCACGGCGCGCGCGCACTTCTCACGCGCTCGCCTTACACTTCCTTCCTGCCGACGGACGCGTCGACCACACGCCCGGCCCCGCGCCGCGTCTGGACTAACGCGATCGGATACGCGCAATTGAAATCGTTCTTTATTTGAATTTTTTTTAATTGTTAGACTTCACATAGCTGCCAGTCTGTACAGTTTATTTCACGAAAATTTTTCTTCGTTCATGAGTAATAATTTTTTACCTGTCAATTAATTATCCTTTTTTTTATTTTTCGTTCATAACTAAACAATATTTCTTATTAATGTTTTAATTTGAGAACTCAACAAAGTAAATTAAGTTGATATAATTTTTGAATTTTATTATTGGTTGGGTGGGAAAGATATTGGACGAGTATCCGAAAGCGTTAACACTCAAGGGTCACTCGGTGGTCGTAAGTGATACGCGAAGGGCGATAATCGTTTGCCGCCCCGGCATGGGAACTATCGCTTCCGGAGCCAGCCCCTTATCTGCTTAAGTGACAAATCTTTTTTTGATTGTGAGAACTACGAGTCCGGACGTAGAGGAAAGCCATCGACGGGTCGAGGGCGGACGCTGATTTTGCGGTCGAGGATGCGTGTGTAGTGGGCTCCTTTCGCACGGTCTCGGACTATTGGGGACACGCATTATTGATTGCGCCTGTCTTGAACCGTGCGTCAAGTGAGCGTTCTCAGAACGGTGGTTCGTTTTTCAAATATCTCTTAATGACGCAATCAAAACCAATTCAATGAGTTTCGCGTATCGTTGCACGGTTATTAGCATTGCTTTTTAACGCGCTAGCATTTCTTCGCTGGGCAAATCTAAACGAGCTATCGTGTCACGACAACCGCAACCGCTTATCGACGTTGTTAATTCATAAGCCCGAGCCGGGGCCGCTTAACGAACAATAAGGTGCATTAGCGCGACTCAAAGGCGGTTAATCGCGGCCGGGATTCCGCCTTGCGCTTCCTTCGAGCATTAAACGGGTCCTTTGTCGCGGCAAGGAGGCCATTGTTAGCCGCCGGCTCCCACGGGCGCCCGTCTTGAGAGCAAACAGGTCGCGGGACACCTCATTGTTTCAATTTCTCATTGTTTGACTAGGCTCGTGTTCCCATGGGAGCGAGGCCGGTCAGGCGCCGCGCTAATGCCTTTGGGGATGAGCCACCCTCGGTGGCTGCGTGTTCTGGAATCGAACGCCAGCGCAGCCCTGATTGTTCCTCTTTCAAATCTATCCATCGCCAACGCAGCTCTTCGAATGATCGTTCCTTTTTCAATTCTATCCCGAAGCTTCGGTAACACTTCGGAATTGTTCAACATACTGCTTTCATTCTTTTTTCAAATCCATTGCGAAGTATCGATAATATTATATTATTCTTTTTTTGATATTCTTTATTTGAAAAAGGAACGTCAGCTAGATGCTTTAGATCTAATATTAAACGTGCTGATTGGAAATTTCTTTTTTTTTTTCAAATAAGAAAGACTCCTTTTAAAGAAAGGTCAAGGATAGTTCGGGGGCCGTTCCTTTTTAATTTTTTTCCCCGATATGTACTTATATATTTAGGAGAAATGTTTGAAAATAGAACGTCTTCCCGTTTAATAAAATTATTAATAGAAGCTAAATTAATAATTTAAAATGTTTAAATGCGTGCTAAAACTCTATTAGGGATAAGAATACGAAAGCGCTCACGCAATGAATTTTACGAGATGATGGAAATTTGTCGACTCTTTACGTTAGTAACATATCGTATTTAGTCAAGATGTCTAAAATTATCGAGATTCGGCACTACGATGATGAAAACAGAACGGTTTGGTATGTGAAAAATTGGCTAATTTAATCGTTTCCTCGTTATTTCTATCGCCTTTTTTTTAAATTAAATATCGCTCCTATTTTAATGATACTCAAAAATCTCATATTTGCGCCTTCTGTTCAACAACCACGTACTGGGGCTTACAAGCTGAATGGATGAAACGGTTAAGGTCAAATGACTTGATTGTTTTGAACATAATTCGATATACAATACTCCTAGCGTCACAGTCGTTACTTGGCAATTATAAAACAACGGCTTCTCAAGCTGTCGCGGTGTTCTACCGGTGGCCATGCATCTGTCGGCATACGGCACGCCTCCCGTGCTGTCATTACGACCATATAACGACCACGTTTATGCACAATGGTCGTAATAACGTCTGGGGTGGGCAGAGATGGTTGCTACCGCGTTCCCATCACTAAATTTTGTCTCCAAAACCATACGTCTGCGGTCGTGAAGGACACTTTTTAATGTGTGACCAATGTATTTTCTAGAACCTCTACTGGCTGATGACCAGCTGGATGTGTGCATTTGAATGTTTTTTTTTTTATTTGAGAAGGTGGCAAGCAAGCTAGCGGTTCACCTGATGTTAAGTGATAACCACCGCCTGAGGACATTTCAAAACCCGTAGGTAGTTGGGCCCCGGTCGTTACTGGTTGCTTTTTGACTGTCGTGTGTCCGCTCGCATCGTAAAAGTTTTACTCCTTCTACATTTTTTTCCAAACGCGAAAAAAAAAATACAACTTCAAAAAGTGACTTAACGAAAACCACCTCATTGTCTGCACTGGATCAATTAAAATTCGCCTCCGAGTTCGTCTATCCTAGCGCCATATGTCGGTGTTGCCATGTGCGATGAAACGGCAATTTTCTTGCGGCGCGACTCTACCTTTACACAAACGAAAGTGCACTTTATCCCTGGCGGAGAGAGTTCGAAGTCGAACGACACAGACGAGCAAAAGTGACTCCGAGTAGACACTCGATAGTTTTCCACTGTCTGCCCGTTCCAATTAAACACCTCGTCTTGAAGGAGGCCCGGTATTTCGGAAGTGAGCAGACGTGAGTAGACATTTTTGGGTTCGTCCGAATTGATTGGTTCCGTCAATTGTAGCGCAGTTCCGGTGCGTATCGCGCACTGTCGGTTTTTTCTAGAAATCGATTTCTTCGAATGGAACAAAGGAACAAAGTAATTTCGATGACTCCTTGGCGCAGTGGCCAAGGTGTTGGCTTCGGCGTCGGGGGTCGTGGGTTCGATTCCCACACGGGACAACTGATAACGTGTGACCCACAGATAGTTGTTTCGCATCTGGGTGTTTGTCCGCGTGAAATTTATGTTTGTAAAACTGTAAGACTGTAAGGACACAGGATAAAGTGATCCTAAAGTAAGGGCAATGTTTTAAAAAAAAAAAATTAAAAAATTAATTAATTAAAATTTCGGAGTCACACTTATCTTGGCTACGTAATGAAGCAATTTTTGAGCTTATATCCCACTCGCTGTCTGCGTAGTCTTTTCATCTCATCTTCGCATCTGTTCACACATGATGCTAAGTAATAACCACCGCCCATGGAGATTTGCAACAGCTGGTGTTGCAGAAGCGTTGCCATCTTTTAATAAAGTGGGCCCCCTCATTCACCAGACGAAACGCAGAAGTGGTCTTTTATGAGGTCGTGGTACTTCCCCGGGCGGACCTGCCCATTCGTGCAACAGCGAAGACTGTTGCGTGGCCCTACCACAGTTATAATTCGCTGTGTATTATAGCGTTATTCATAAACAGTAATGACGATGGAATGCAATATACTGTTATCTTTGTTGATTGGATTTCCTTGAGATTATAATGAACAAAATTCTTGTAATAGGCAATAAACTTGAGTAGGCTTTAAATTATGCGTACACTTCTAAATTAGATTTATAGTATAGGAGTCGGTTTACGCTTTTACGTGGATAGATCTAATCTCAATTAATCGCCGAATTCTTAGTCGCCACGATATTATAGTTACGAAAAGTCCTAAAGTAAACAATTGTAATTCAAACTTTCTACGTTTGTCTCCAAAAACGGAGAAGGAGTGAAGGAGACGGCGAATACAAAAAAAACTATGGCATAATGACGGATGTCTTTAAACTGCTGTAAAATGATGCGTCGCGGTCCTAATACGGTCGCGGAAGGCTGCTTTCGAGAAATTGATATTGGGCCATGGGCTATGGGGCAATTACGGCGTCTGTCGTCCGGTTAAAACGGAGCCCAGTGGCGCGTGCCGTTAATCGCTTCATTTGTGATGCGCGATCACCATACTCGAAACACCACCGAAAATTCCAGAATGTTCCGCTTAACTGACCCGCCCGGAGCGACTAAAACTAATAACACACGCTATGGGCTCTAGCAGCTGTTCAGTAACAGTCTATACATATCTCCCACTGCTGGGCAAAGATCTCCTCTGCCGTGGTGTTAGGGTCAGAGTAATGCATTTCTTGACCTGTAAGTATGTGGTAAATAACAGCAAAATTGCAATCAACCGCGATTTGAATTCGGAACAACGAACCACCGCGTCGTAGGCGAAAAAAAAAAATCGAACGCAGCATAATTTAAAAACTAAACTAATCGCCTGGCGGGACGCAGTGGCGCCGATGCGTCGGCTTATCCAAACAAAATGCCGGCCAATCGCGACTTTGCGAATTTGAAATTTGTTCGAAAACCGGTGCGCTACGTAAAACCAATATCGCGGGGGCATACGTGTGTACGCACCGGCTGAGCGGTGCGTGTGTGCGTGGCGCACACCGGTGCTCGCGTGTAGAGCGCACTCACACAATGAGATATCGCAAATGGGCTAGTCGAGTCGCCCGCCCGCCGGGGGTGGGGGAGGGGAGGCAGAAAGATGCGTTTTTGCGCCGGAATCTAGACGCGCTCACGGCTAAATCCAAGTGCGTAACCGATAGCGCGTTGATTCGCCTACGCGGACTGCGCGGTTTACGTTCGCGTTTTCGGGGACGCGCAGCCGAGGGGCACGGTATGCGTTACGCGTTTGCGTTTTCGAAAATAGACGGCGCGGGGAGGGGCGGAGCGGGATCGGTTAGGCACACCCGAGTGGCAGCTTCACGGGCCGATTCACACTTCTTTCGGACGGAAAGGCTTTGAAGGGCCCCGGTCGACGGGACACCGAATTACGTGCGCGCTGCCCCCGAGCGAAACGGGCCGCTTCACGGTTTCGAATGAAAGTCCAACCTCTGAAGATGATCGAAACAACTGAACACGTAAAAGTACAATGAATTTTCAGCGTCTTACTCCGCTGGAAATAACTTTCGCGTTTCGGACGAATAGAACTGACCGTACCGTATACGGTTTGTCCGAGATGTGCCTAATGAAAACGTCGCCCGACCGCGCGTCGGTGTTGCCAATTTACTTAGATTAGGCGTTTACAACGCTTGTGGCCGCTCGGACACGCTACACGGAGCCGTTGGCATGTCCACGAATCTCGACGCACACATTTGCACGGCAGTTTTACCGTACAGAGGCGCCCGTATAAAATTTACGGCGCACACTTTCGCAGGCCGGCTGCGGCGCATAGATCAGCGGGACGCCCCCCCGCCCGAGCTGGTCAGCCATTCCGCGTCGGCTAGATTTATAACCTGTGCACCGGCAATCCGCTAAGAACGTTCGTAATACACAACCTCTTTGCGCGGCTAATCGCTCCGCGACGCTGGCCGGTTGTAACCACGCGTGGAGTTGTCAACGAAAAGAGAAAGAAAAAAAAAGGAAAAAAAAACAGCGCGCGTCATCGAAAAAAAAACTCCGGAAAACTCCCGCCCCCGCGCCGACCGGCAACGGGATTCGAAAATGGTGGACGCCAGTTGAATATATAGCCCGGTAACGCAACCTTCGGGGGCATTATTTCAAAATGCACGTTAGGTGGGGGGGTTGGGCGGGCTGCAGCGGGGTCAGCCGGCGCTGTTTGTCTATCGCCGCGTTTTACCATTCACCGGGTGAATTTCCCGAAGCCCGCTGCCCCCTCCCCTCCTCCGGCCCCTCCAGCCGCCGGTGCTCTCTGTATTTTTATTAACGGAATTATAGCGTCTGAATGAGCGGACCGTGCCTACTTATATTGATTAGGCCACGACTGGAAATAGAAAGAGCACCCTTTGTTGGCACGCGCTTATTATCTCCTGATAGCGTTAAATCAACCGGTTCTTTGTCCGTTACTATTGACGCATCAAATTGAAAAACCCAGCGTGTACGACTTCTATTACGTAAACAGAAACTACTTTGTGTAATAAGTGTATTGGCAAAGTATTAACGATATATCAGTTTATTTCCAATTGAGTTATACCGACAATATCTTTTTATAGAGAAGATATGGAGTAAAGTATGCGGCTTACAAAAACCGACAAGTAGGTCAGAAAAGTTAACTGGAGCGCGACTTACGTAACAAACTTAACTGTTGTCAGCCAAGTATAAGTAAAATATCAGTAATGTTCCTTTATATAACTAAAGTCAAAAGAATCATCGATTAGAAAAATTCATAGACAAAGACAACTTAGAGGAAATCGAATTACAAATGTAAAGAAACAATGGCTTACAAATTTCTACGTCACTCTTTATGTTTAAATATTGTAGGTACGTGAAAATCAAAATAGCTCAGTACCTACAGGGTAGCTATGTACTTCAAACTTCATAGAGCTGTGTGCATTGTTGGAATTACCGCAGAATTCATTTGGAGCTCGTAACGACATGAAAGAAAAAGGGTTAAGCCCCCAAAACTGATATTTAACGAAAGGATTTGTTCCCGAACTTCACTGATAGATAGAGACGGTGGGCGGCGCCGCGCAAGGCTTAGGCGCTGATCAGAAACTCATAACTGACACGTCAGTTTTATCGGAACAGGAAGTTGGGCCACGGAATTTTGTAAAAAGCGCTTTTGCAACTCTCTCTCTCTCCTTTTTTCTTTAAATGCACCGAGCATTGTTCCGGGCCGCATACGTTCTTTTTTTCAAAAATCAATCATCTCGAATATCTCGCTAGATGAAGAATAAGAACAAACTTATGTTCGGCGCAATGTGATAATCTTTCTATTTTTACTTCAAACACTAAGCGTTAGACGGCCATTATACATTTTAATAGAACAAATAACTAAAATATTCTTAAACATATGTCAATAACAAATTCCGAATTGTACACTAGTAACAAATAAAAAAAAATAATATAAAACATTAATCCAGATACCGATCATAAAACTCCAAAAGTAACTGGCCGCAATAATAATTAAAAAAATAATTATAACATTCGAAATTATTCGGCGCCTCTTAGTATTTTTATATAAAAAAACAACAATAATAACTACCACTTTTTTGTTTGGAACGTATTGTTTCCCGTTGCTCGCGTAAGCATAACACCTCAAACTCACATAACGGCCGTGCATTGATACGCGATAGCATCGCTTTCGGCGCTACGTTCGATATTCAAAACTGCGTTGTTCTTGATTAATGTTTCGCTTTATCGGCGCTCCCCCCGTGCACGCTCGCGCTTAAGTCATTTTGGAATTAGCCCGCTCTTTGCCTTTGCCGTGTTTCAACTAAAATAGTTAACATTTATAAAATGCTTATGTCATTAAAAATAATTTCATTAGCGCATTAGCTTTTAGGGTTCCGTACACAAGGGGCGAACAGGGCCCTCTTACTAAGACTCCACTGTCTGTCTGTCTGTCCGTCTGACACCTATATAGACAGTTGAAATTTTCACAGATGATGTATTTCTGTTGCCGCTATAACAACAAATACTAAAAAAAAAATAATAAAAAATATTAAAGTGGGGCTTCCATACAAGAGACATGATTTTCTTCCCTTTTTAAAGATAATGGTACGGCACCCTTCGTGCGCGAGTCCGACTCGCGCTTGTCCGGTTTTTTTTATTCGACTGGCCAGCGCTTCACTGCCGTCCGACCATCCGTTGGGGCTAATTAAATCGCCCGATGTCGGTATACACTAGCCGGTATAGACTAAACTCCGTTACCCGGACACGCTCGGTCTTTTTTCTCGTTTCAGGGGATTCCGCAGGCAAAGCCCGGCGGTAAGTCAACACACGGTCTCGGCAAACGCGACGCGCGAATTCGTACGCGGAAATATTCACAACTTTCACGAAGTGTCACCGGCTGAAACGACCGCGAAATAATGGAGCCCTCCCATCTATGTGCGAACGCAGTACGAGGCCAGAATTTCATTAGTAAGTGATTATTATACGATCTATGTGAACTTAAACGATTAATGCCCGGTTCCTATATTCAACGAACGGCCGTTAGTTACGTAGCATCCTAAGTTTCATAACGACTTGTAGATTAAACGAACGCTAGAAACACTCTTTCCGTAGGTAATTGGACGGCTCGTAAGGAAAACACCTCGTTTGTTATAGTAGGAACCGGGAGTACACGCCTTTAATCTACAAGTCGCTATGAAAGTTAGGAAGCTATGTAACTAACGGAAGTACGTTGAATATAGGAACCGGGCATAAGTCGTAATTAACTAGTTGATATTATAAAATTGCCTTTTTTTGTGAGAAGATGGTGAGCGAGCTGGCGAGCTGATGTTAAGTGATAACCGCCGCCTATGGGCATTTGCAAAATCCGTAGAATTGCAGATGCGTTGTCACCTTTTAATAAAGTGGACCCGGTTACCTCACTCACCGGACAAAACGCAGAAGTGTAACACTTCTACTTCACGCCGGTCTTTTGTGAGGTGTACTTCCTCCGACGGACCTGCCCATCCGTGCAATAGCTAAGACTGTTGCGTGGCTCTACAACAGTTAAACCTTACCAAAACGGAAGAGGAATACACGATGGAGGCCGCGAATGAAAGATTTTAATTAGATTATAATTAGGCAGAAGAATAGACTTCACGTAACTGGTTATAACCTCAAATTTACAATCTTAAATTTACAATCAATATGTACGTAAAGGACGAAATCTTTGTTATTTTGGAAAGTTGCTTGCGTCGAAATGTTCTACAGGTATCATTTAAAGTTATTTCAATTATCTTACCATTAATATGTTTTTGAACTTATCCGGTGTAAAATTTGCCCGTGGCCCTCCGATGGATCTGGGAAAAGAAAATGGTACTTAATTAATATCACACTATATGTTTTATAATATATCAAACGATAAATATATTGTGAGTAAAAACTATAATAGCACATATTTTGTATGTGTATGTATATGTATGAAAAAAAATCAGTGATGTTTTAAAATATCTCAATCGAATTGCTTTTTCCATTAAGTACTTAATTGTATTAATTATGTTCTAAATTGCAATAAGAGTGCAGATTTAAAATCGGATTTTATTTTTTTGACATAAAGTATGATTAAATTGAATAGGTAAATAATTTTCAAATAAAGGGTGGACGAACGGTGACCCATAACTTTGAATTATTTCTAGGTCTTCTGCTATAAGCTTTCAGTGAAATAGATAAGTAAGAAATTGTTATTTTATTTTTAATTTATTGAGATACTGGCCATGAATATTTCCACCGATGTTTTAAAATTTTCCAATTGGCCTAGTTACCAAATAAAAGACCTAATCAAGAATAATATTAATTGAAATATTACTTTCGCCTACGCCTTATTATATATTAATGAAAATAATTATTACGTCAATGGAATGGCAGACAAAAATGTATATTTTTTTTAATTTGCAACACTGGCCATTAAGTTTTCAGCCAATGACAACACACAATCATAAAAAGAAACAATTCGTATTGGTCGTCAATAGAGACGTTCGGGTTATCGATAAGGATTGTAACGGAGTTATCGAAGGGATCTATAGGGGCTGCCACGTGCGAGACCACCCGGCGCGGGCGCGTGCCCCACGATCGATGTCTAGGAGAGTTTTTTTTTTCGTCTTACGATACGGCCAGTCGTAGAGCATACGGGCTAATACGAGCGAAGTTTTACATCATAATGATTTTTTAAATTATTCCGAATTGTAAATTTACATTTATCTCTTACGGATTTTAAAAGTTTATAATAGCCGTGATAGTTCAGGGTCCGGGCGCTCGCTATTAATTGAATAATATTGTTAATTACAATTTTAAGTGCCGAGTTATCACCTGCACCTCATTGAAACGTGCATATTTACGAAATAATAACAAAGAACAAAATATTTCGACGATATTTATGCGAAGTCTGCCACTATGCTGTGTTCGGGTGGAATACTACGCCCTAAAACATTCGGTACAGAGGAGGCCCTTGGCCAGCAGAGGGACGTATAATGTTACCTTACTTTACTTTTTTACGGATTTTAGTTGGATTCAGTTCGGTTTATAGCTCTCGACGTTTTGGATGTTTAGCAAGCATTTCACTAGACCTAGGGGTATCGTCAGCTTAATAACTTTATCCACATCAATGCAACAATGCCGAATGTGATCGCCGAATCTTGCATTGTGATGTGCTCGGGTCTGGATATAGTTAATTACGTTGTTGCAATTTTTTTTAAACGTCGGGAGTTAAAAAAGCTTGGGTAATTTTTTTAGCTTATAAGCTTAATTTTTCAACTAGTCGTAACCTGTAGGTGGCTGGCATAACATTTATTGTACATTCATAATTATGTCCTTGAGTCGTATGTTTCAATCAATCAATCAAAAATCTTTATTCAAATAGACTCTTG